AAAAAAAAAAAAAACAACTAACCAAAAGCCAGTATCATCATAAAAACAAAAGCAGTATAACAAAGTGGATGAAAACAATTTTGAAACTAGAATTCCTGGGTTCAAGTTTAGCTCTGTCTCTAGTTGTGTAACCTTAAACAAATTACAGTAATGCATCACTTAACAACCAGCAAACAAATGCATAATGGTACATTTTAAGAAATGCACCATTAGGCGATTTCTTTGTTGTGTGAACATCACAGAGTGTACTTCCACAAACCTAGATGGGAGAGCCTGCTACACACTCAGGCTGTATGGTATATCTACTGCTCCTAAGCTACAAACTCATACAGCATGTTACTGTACTGGCTACTGTAGGCTATGATGTCACTAGGCAATAGGAATTTTTCAGTCTCATTATGACCTTATGGGACCACTGCAATGTGGTCCATCATCATATATAAAGTGCTTAAAACAGTACTTGGCACACAGTGCCACACTGAGAGGGGAGACCCCCTCGCCTCCTTTAATTTCACCTCCTCCCTCCCATCCTTCCAGATGGGAAGGAGGGTGAAGAAGGAAAAAAAATGAAATAAAATACCAAAGAGCTGGGAAAATGACTCCCTTTTTAGTTCCCAGCATCTCTGCTGTCTGTTAGCCTTGAAAGAGCTGCAAATGAATGTTATCCCTGCTGGCTGGAGCCCGGCACTGGGTCACGCCCCCCACATCTCCACGGATCAGGCTCCCTCCTGGAAACACCTCTGCCAACAAACAGCTTGTTGCTTTTGTGTTGTCTCTATAAGCCCCCTCCCCTGCTAGTCTCCATTCACACTGCAAATAAATTAGCGAATCAATAAAGCCAAAAGATTATAAGGTCAGAAGTCCAGCAAATGGACAATGACATAGTTCTGCCTCAGTTTCCCTTTTAGCATTGTAAGCCTATAAAAAGGGGAGAGAAGCTGCAGCTTGGGAGCTTGGTAAATAAGGCTGTAGCCTCCCGCAGCTCCCAGCCGAATAAAGCCACTTCCTTCCTCAGTTTGGTGTTCAAGAGGTTTGTTCCCCGCCGCTCCTGCTACAATATGAATGGACATGATTAGATATACCTAATATCAGCCGGGCACAGTAGCTCACACCTGTAATCCCAGCACTTTGGGAGGCCATAGCGGGCAGATCACTTGAGATCAGGAGTTCAAGACCGGCCTGGCCAACATGGTAAAACCCCATCTTTACTAAAAATACAAAAATTAACCAGGTGTAGTGACGGGTGCCTGTAATCCCAGTTATTCAGTGAATGCGGCACGAGACTCACCTGAACCCAGGAGGCAGAGGTTGCAGTGAGCCAATATCGTGCCACTGCATTCCAGCCTGGGTGACAGAGACTCTGTCTCAAAAAAAAAAAAAAAAAGATATACCTAACATCAAAAAACTACTATCAGGAATGAAGAAACACCAAAACCATTTCCCAAAACATCAGGTATAAAAAAAATAATGTTCAAAGGAAACACTACTATTTAAGACTTTGTTTTGAAAATACAAAGTGATCAATCAAGAGAAAACCATAAATTTACAAAGAAAGAAAAATTTTAAAATGGAATTATCATTATTTGCAGATGATATAATACTATTCCTAAAAATATCAAGAAAATCAACTGAAAATCTATTAGAAACTAATAGGAATTTTAAAGATGTATTTAACTCATTTATTCCCTAAAAGTGAAATTTAGAGAAAAATATGAAAACAGTCTCAAGGTGGTATGAACTGGGAGTTTGAACTTTTCAAAAGCTCACCATGGCAATGTAATTTTGGGGACTCCCATGCGCCCTGGGCTGTGCAGCTTGAAACTGTATCTTCTGGAACACTGAAAAATCCTTCTCTGCAAGCATAATGAACCTGGCTGCCCAGCCTAGACACATAATTTTCTATGATATAACGATCCGTAACCTCAGGAGGGGTGCCACAGTCTATTTCTGAAAATAAATTAATGTCAAATTCTTCACCTTGTGAATGTAAATCTTCAAAATTCATAATCTCTCTCCACCTCTACCTTATTCCTCACACACACACCCCGAGACATATTTTAAGTACGCTGGTTCATTCCCACGTGACTTCCGGGAACATTTCCCACAATTGTCTTCCTTCAGTCTTTTGGCCTTCCATAGCTAAAGCATCTATACATGCACAAAGCTGATAGAATTTAGCAATCAACCCTCACTAATTTACACTAACTAAAGAGAAGCCTCGTCCAATGAAATAAAAATCTGAATTGCAAAATACCTTAAGATATATGTACCTTGATAATTTTCAGGGTCCCTTTTGAGATGCAAGGTCCTTACCAAATCATCAGTATTTACTAGCTAACATAGTAGTTAATATCAGAATATCCATTAACTGCTAATAAAAATT